AATGATAACAATAGGAATATAACTTTGAATAAATCTTGGAATAATATCATGCTTGTTAATTTGAGAAAAATATTTTCCCATGCTGTGTTAAGTTGGCTTTAGTTTTAATCTGAAAGAAAAGATTTCTTTGTGTCTGTTGTTAGACTGATTTTGTTTATTTATTAAATTCTTAATTTTTATGCTTAGTAGTTATTAGTACTTTTTCTATATTTTATAAGATTATACTTTAAATCAGAAAATAATACAAATCCTTTGAAAATGGTTGCAACTACTTTGATGTCAACTTCAAAATATGAAATCAAAATGGATTCAAATCACTTCTGTGATAAAACAATTGAAACAAAAGAAATAGATGCTAATTATTTCTGAACTTTAGAATCAAAATTATATTTTGCTTTAGCTATTCATTACTTCAAGATGTGGCTGTTTTAATTCAGATCCTTTTTCATATTTTATCTCTCTTTATTATGTCTTTTTCTGTTCTACCTAATACAATGACTAACTTAGTTTTAATAATGAGAGATTTAAAGAAAACTTAAATTTATTTTAAATCTTGCATTATTCTGTCACATGTTTTGACTGTTTATGATACTTATATTAAATTGTGTCTACAATAGCAGCCTAGTTATCAGTAATTGAGAAAGTGAAGAATAAATCTTTAGCATTTTACAGCACTGACAAAGTCTGATTTATTATCTTGTTCTATAAACTGCAAGGTAACCATTGTTTTTCTTCCACTATTGGAAATCTTATCAATGTAAAAAGTTTTCTTTCTCTATTGATGGGTAGCTAAACTGTCTGTTTGCTTCTCTTTTGTCTGCCTTAAGTTTTCTATTCTTTTCTTGTCTGATTATTTTATCTTTTATTCTACAATTGTTAGAAATATAGTTTTCAATCAACATATAGTTGCCACACCTTTAATTTTTCTTATTTTATTTGAAAAATTAAAAAAAAAATAATTTGGTTTTGTTACATCTCTTAACGATTTTTATTCTTTTGAACTTTGTAAACATGTACACATACCAGATTTCACACAAATAGGAAAACTTTGTAAAAGTTTCACTTTATTTACTATTAATTATTTTCATATTTAATTTAATAACAATTTATTTTCAAGCTTTGATGGCATATTGGTGTGCATAATGCAATATGCCCCTATACATAAATTTGATATTAAATAACCCAATGAGGGTTGACATGTAAAATCAACCAACCAACCAACCAACCAAACCATCATGTCATGAGTGTCAAGTTTTTTAATCTCAAATTGCGCATCATTTTGTTTATAAAGAGAGGGAAAAAAAAAACTGACATTATTTTGATTATTTTAAAAAAAATCTTTTATTGGAGTCTACTTATAATAATTGTTATAATAGTTATTCTTGAGGAATTAAATAATCAGATTTTCAGAAATTCAACCTGTTATTTCAAGGTTTCAATTTAAAAAGAAATTTTATCTGCCACTCCCCAGTTTTATAGCTTATAGATTCATATTATTGTAAAGTTATTCTTTTATAGAATTTTCATTGTAACTCTTTTCTGTTCTTATTCATGTTTTTACTGTCCACTCTGACCAAACCCCAAAATCTATGCAAATATTACATTGCATAATAGATGGGGGTAGTCTATCTAAGATATAGTGAATAATATTCCCTCCCAAATATACTACCATAAACCATGCATCTAACAGACTAACATTTACCATATATTGATGTTGAGACAAAGAGATTTGAAATTACTTGAATATTCTTAAAATTATTTTAACCTTTGCTTGAATAAACCAATAGTTGCCAAGGATGGTTGTTGAATCCCTGCCTAATCTATAAATCTGCTCAAATTGTCCTTTTATAGACAATTGAATTGCTAACTCAAAATAGGCAGATATATTGATACCACTACAAGTGGATTACTAATTAGAACCATCTGTCATATTAATACCAAAATGTTTTTGTTTTTTATAAGATTATAAATATCAATTATTTTGAATTGACTAATTTTTCTTTTTCATGGTAGTAATAAAGCTTACATCTAAAAGCTTACTAAAAGTAAAATATTAGACTGGAAGGAAAAGACTCCATACTTATTTGAGGGAAGTGAACTCTTGAAAGGTTTAATATGTTTCGGAAGTGACTGGAGAGATATTAGAAAAAATTCTATATAAATAATATTAAATAAAACCATTTTCTTTCAATTTTTTTTGTAAAGCTTACGAAAGTGATAAAACCAAATATAAATAAATATATAATGTATTTATGCCTGTGAACCAATTATTCCATTTGATTATTAAGAATGTCACTTTCAAACCAGATAAACTGCATGCATTTAAAATCGGTTTAGTATACCTATTTTTGATGTTTGTAATAAAATCACATGTTAGCTTTATTAACCAATTATATACAAGTTTTATCTTTTTTATTTTACTTTGTATATTGAAAATATTTTAAATAGGTATTGAGAAAAAAAAAAGCAAACTAGAAGATATTGCTACGTTTTTGTGTTTCTATATCAGGATCAAAATTTGTTCCTTCTAATTTTCTTATAACGAAAGCAGACTGGTTTTAGGCAAGAGGAGTAGTAATTTTTTTTTTTCTTGTGTTTCCCTGGTGCTTCTGCCAAGTGTAACATAATCTCTCCAGTCTTTGCCCATTCCATACTCGTGTCTTTTAATAGAACTCTTGAAGATTAGAAATAACTTTTTTTCTTTTGATTTATTTTCTGAAATTTATGATTATTATAAAAAAAATATTACAAAGAAAATTTAGGGATAATTAAAATAAAAAGAGCATTGACAACCCACATAATTTAAAACCTTCATCTTAAATATTAGCATACACATTAAAATGAAAATTGATATAATTTTTCTTAAACAGTTTCTCCATATTCTTTCATTAGGTACCAACATAAGAGTAACCATGTAATTTTACTTCTTGTGAGTGTCAAGATGGAAATGATGAGAATGAAGAGATTGTTGACACTCTTTTTAGATCTAATTTTTTTTTTTTTTACGCACTCATCTCCTGACTTTATTTTTTGCACTAGTCTGGCCCCTTTTTTATTTTTTTTGCCTAACATCTACCTCTGTTCTCTACTTGCATAGAATGTTTTCCCTTCTTCATTGGATTCAACCATTCACCCCCACCTCCAAATATTTTTATGGATACTATCCTTTGCTAGGTAAACCAACTATCAAATGTAGTTATTGCATCTTCTCTCAACCTTTACCTTCAGCTTATCCTTCCTACCTTTCTCAAATTATCTTCCTTTTTTTTTTTTTTTTTTTTTTTCCTGTTCCACTCAATTTCAACCAGACTTGTGTTCTCTTCTACTTTGACACTTTTCATTGCTCTGATACAAAATTTATAAACTTAACACAAAACAACTTGTAAGTTTTGTTAACTTATATAGTTTGAAAGAGAAAACTCTTGACAATTTTTTTCTCTCATATCAAGGTAGGTTATAGAAAGTTTTGTACTTTATATTATCCATGTAGTTTTTTCTTTTAACAACTTATACAGTCCCTTATTACTTACAAACTACCGAATTGCTTTTCTAAGATTTCTTTATTCCCTGTGTGTTATTAGTAGTTTCTTCAGAAATTGGTTGAATATTTCTTTATTAAAAGCTGTATGCCTTTGATATATTTACATGTTATGGTTGATGAAAATTTTTATATTGTTTATATTTGCTTGTTTTTGATGATTTTAATTTAAGTTTTTATATTTTGCCACTTCTGTTTATAGGCAGAGGCCTTTATTCTTCATTTCTGAAATTGTTTTATTTTAAAATTCCTATTTAAATTATTTTATCTCACTTTGTCAGAAATATTTACATTCATATTTGTATAATGAATATATTATTTATTGAAATTGCAGACATGATTTGCACTCTTTGATAATAAATGTCAGTGATATTCAAGTCATTTTAGCTACAAGTTAAACAAAATTATGACAAATTGAGAAATTGGATTTAAATTTGATTTTTGCTATTACCAGCAATAAATACATCTTTAATTAACAAATTTGCATATATTGTGAATTATACTCTTAAAACTTAAAAAAAACAAACAAACAAAATAAGTGTTCTTTTAATTACATTTAATGAGTGTTATTTAAAATAATCTTATTAATAATATTTTTTTACCAAATGAAGAATATTAACAGAAAATAAATCTCATTTTGTATAAAGCTTACCTTTTGTTTTTTGTTTTACTAAATTTCTTTATAAAATTTTTTGCTTAATATCTTGTCATTAAGGTTAAAATTAAACTTTGGTTTTAATCTTTTAATACTGATTACTACTACTTATTCATATGGCAATAATTTGTTTACTTATTTTTACACTTTTATAATTCTCACCTTCAGTCATTGATGTGATCATTATCAATTAAATGGTTATTTAATAAATAAAAAATTGATGAATAAAAATGCCTCTTTCATTAAGTAACTTTGAATTAATTTAACTCCTAAGAAGACAATACTTGGCTAATTAGGATCTGTATAGCTAACATTATCCCTTAAAATATAATTTGTATTTTTTTACAATTAGGTATTTATTTTTATTATTCATTAATCAAGCACTTGTACAGATGTTTTGACTTGACCTACAGGTACTGATTTTATTTTTAATAAAAGAATTGTAGCACTTTAACTCTAGACCATTGTAAAACTTTTCTTTTGGTGCTACTTAGCATAACTGAATAGTACTTAAATAGCTTACAGTTCTCTAATCTTATAAGAAAACTGAAAGAGAACTATTTAATCTTCCTGCTGATTACTTTATCTCATTATTCATATTATATAATCAAATTGTCTTCTAATTACTTTGGTATGTTTTATCAGTTGAACACACTGGCATGTTGTGTGTTATTGTCAAAGTTGTATAAGTAGAATGTACAGCTTTTAATACATTTTTTTTATAAAATTAAAGAATGTTCTAACAGATTGTTTCTCCCATTGACTGTGTAAATCTTGTTATACTTTTCAATGATTTTTTCTTTTCAGAATTACCATTTGGTTGGGAAAAAGTAGAAGACACACATTATGGAACTTATTACATTGAGTAAGTCAATACAATCAATATTTATGCCTCTTTATTTTTACAAGCAGGATTTTATAGCTTAAAGGGTTTTGTGTAAGGAAACTATTGGTCATTTTTTTCCAAAATTTGATATTCTATAATGCTTCAATGATAGTTTAAACTAATGTTAATCAATGTATAATATATTACTAAAGAGCTTGATAAAGCTCTTTAGTAATCGATACTTATACAATAGAGAATATCTCACATTATTTAATTTTTTCTATAAATTTCTCCAGCTTACAAGAAAACATCCTTTTTTTATACTCCACATATCTGTCTACCTATTTTTCTTAATATGAAAGCAGTTAAATTTATTATCATTGTATAAATCAACTCTCTTATCTCATCCGAGATAGTTGACACCTTTTTGTTTCCTACAGATTAGATTAAGTGCATGCATTTATTCATGATTCAGCAAACTATTTTAGCCAGCATCATTTTACTACTAGTTAATCCTGTTTTCAACTTCACATTTTGCAGATACTGTAACATGGGTCTGATAATTTGGTTGTCCTAGAAGTAACATATTGAGGCTTTATAATTGCCATCAGAGAGCTTATGCTCCTCCAATTGTGTATGTCTGGTTCAAGCCGAATAATTTAAGTTAAATTTCTCAAGAGATCTGACTTATAAGGTAATTAAATGTGAGTTAGAACATCTGATGAAGACTAGTTGAAGCAGCAGGCAATGCACCTATTGTTATTTTTATCATTTTTAATTGTGGGTTTGTTACACAACAAAAATGTCACATTATAGCAAGATTGTTGTTAGTGCAATATCATTCAAATACTCTAAAGAAATTTTTAGTCTAATTTGCAATCATAAAAATAATCGGTGGGGGTTCCACATTCACTCACACTGGTAATAATGATTCATATTTTTATTTTATTTTTGTTACAAAAACTCATATCAACAATGAAAGATGTGTTAAGTGTTGTATAAAATAATGATACTTATGAAATATTTTATTTTGTAAAACAATTTTTTTCACATCAATAAGAATATGATGACATCTGTATGTTTGTTAAGCAGCAAAACCAGCGCATAATAGTGAAACTTTTGTGAGCACAAATCTGTTACAATGCCTTAACATGGAAAATAAAGCAATTTCCAGTTCAATTCATAATATAATGTGGTTTTCTCAAAGGAGTTAACACCAGGTATATGAATGTTATTTACAGAGTATTTTTCCTCATAAAATATTACAGTGGAGTTGGATAAGGTTTAGGGGATGCAATTTTATTTTTTATGCAACTTGATAGGTAAAGTGGATTAAATTCTGATCAATTAATTTTGTATAAAATTGCATATGTTTTGTTTTTAGCCATGTGAATAAGCGCACACAGTATGAGAACCCGGTAGCCCAGGCTAAGAAGTCTCAAGTGTCAGGTAAGATTATCTTTATGACAATGACTATTTTATTTTTTTATTGGCTAGTTATAGATATTCAAATGTTCTAGAACTATCTTTGGAGCATCATCCCTATCATCCCTTTTACTTTGACAACAAAGTTCTGTTTGTGTTCTTTATTTTGATACCTATATATATAATTACACACACACACACACATATATATATATATATATATATATATATATATATATATATATATATATATAGTATTTTTAAATGTATTATTTGTTTTTTTTTCATCATTTATATAATTGTTAAATCAAAGTCAACTATGTTCATGAATGATTACATTTTCACTGTGACAAGACTGGATGCTTCAGCAGATTACAATTTAGAAGATATTTAAAATGAACAATCCTTTTAGCAGTTGGGAATTTTTAATCAAATTTTCAAAGATTTCAACCATTCATAAGCATGAAAGGAGTAATTCTTGAATATAACTTATAATAAATTAACAGGCAGGTAATTGTTGCTCTTCATTTCTTAGCTTACTTTCTACTGTTTTATAGCCAAATTTTCCACATTTATTCTTTAACTGAATTGCAACTAGCAGCAGAATTTTTCCTACTATAATAATTGTGACATTGATCCATCAGAATCTTTTCATAGGGATTAATGATCAATCTTTAAGTTTGACAAACATTTTTTCAGAGATATTTTCTGCAAAAGTGCATAATAAATTTCATGATACCAGAATTGCAGAATTGTTTACTCAAAATTTATTCAGTATTTATCAAAACAAATGACAATAAGATTGTCACATTATTTTGACATTTTTGTGGTCATTTGCAATTGATAGATAAGTGATTTTCTTTTTTTTGTTTACTTTTTAAAAAAAATACTAATTTGATAATAATAGATGCACAAGTAATATGACAGTTATCAGTACAAAATGGAATTAGTAAACTGAGTTGAAGTTCTGTCCTTGTTTGTGTTCACTTCACCCTAATGCCCATTGAACAGGTATAAATCCATTTTTTTTTCTCCTTCTAATAGAGGTTAAATAGCAGGATCAGTTAAGCTCTCTAGCTTTGTGTGACAGTTCGTCTAGAAGGAAGACTACTCCTAATTCTAAACTATAGAGAAGGCAGTGAGGAGATGCCTTCATTATCCCCAAGAAGCCATGGCAATTCACAAATAATAAACCAAAAAGGAATTTGTAGAGAGCCATAATTTCCATTATCCTGAAGGCACGTGGTATTTAAAAAAAAGAGTTTGTGAAGAAAAATATAAAAAGAATTATGTCTGTCTATATCTCTGAGATTATCTCTATTATGGTTATTTACATTATTTATATTATTTGGATTGTTATCCTCATGTTCATTGCCATATTCACAATGTTTTGGCCATTGTACGCTCTGACCTTCTTCAGATGATTGGAATTTCGAGCCTGTAATGAATAACCCGAAGCGAATAAACTTAGGAAAGCTTTATTCAACTTAATACAGCTACCAAAAGAAAAGAATTAAGCTAGCTTATTTATAAGCATTTCCGGAGTCTGTCCATTACACCAAACAGGGGGAGCAGGTTGTGGGAATTACTTACAACATTCTCCCCCACCGGCTAGTTATTCGTACAGAATAGTCTTTCCAATGACCTGGCATTTTGCGGGTCCTTTGGGAACATCTTAATTGTTCAGGTGACTAGTGGCCATCTATGTCAGATGACAAGTTATAGTTATCGTGATTAACACATTTCTGCGTAGAGGGTCTAGCCTTGAAATGGCACTGTTTTTTTTTTATGTTTCGGTTGCTGGGTGTCTGAAAAATAAGTGTCAGTCTCCGATGTAGGGTGAGTCCGTTTTTGTGCTATCCGTCTTTCTTCAGAATCAGATGTAGAAGAAGGTTCATAAGGATAATCGGATTCATTCGGTAGAGTATCTGAACTAGATGTACGTGGGATTTGATCGCCCAGCTTAACTGGGCTGGTTCTGAAAACTGGATATTCGCGATTCTCCATTAGCCTCTTCAGATGTATTTCCAGCCGGCGTGAGATCTCTTAAGGAGACTGTTGTCTTCCTTCCGCAGTTTCAATCTGGGCGTATTGGGAGTTCGCCTCAATTAGTTTCACTTTGCTGACTAAGGGGTCATGTTTACTACGACGAACATGTTGTTTCAGTAAAACGATTCCAGGTTGAGCAAGCCATGAAGGGAGGGAAGTGTCTGTTGAGCTTCATTGTTGGAACAGAAATAAACCTCTCATGTGGAGTAGTGTTTGTAGATGTACACAGTAGGGTCCTGATAGTGTTTAGAGCCTCGGGGATGACACTTCCCATTTTGAGATCAATATTTTCCGATTTGCCAATGCCAACTGTACTGTCTTCCATATTATTCCATTATATCTTTCGCAGAGCCCGTTCACTTGAGGATTGTAGGGGGAGGTTCGGCTTACCGCCACTCTTCGTTCATGCAAAAAATTCTTGAGGCCTTCCGACATAAAAGCAGATCCCCGGTCTGTATGAATGTATGCAGGCACTCCGAAAATTGCGAAAAGGGAGCAGAGGCCTTGAATAACTGTAGTGGCCGTTACATCAGGGCATGAAATGACAAAGGGGAACCTTGAGTACTCATCAATTACAGTAAGCATGTATTTATTTTGTGTTTTAGAAGGTAGTGGACCCTTGAAATCCAGATTAAGCCTTTCGAAAGGCTGAGTGGCCTTCACGAGTGTTGCTTGAGGGGGTTTATAGAATCTTGGCTTATTTTCTGTGCATATTTGGCAGGAGTTGGTAATTCTTTTTACATCTTCAACTGAATATGGTAAATTCCTGCTACGGACTATATGTGTCATTCTTGTGATGCCCGGGTGGCACAATTCTCGGTGTATGCTCTGAAGATCAGATGAGCTTGTTGTTAGACCACACACCCTTGAAAGTGCGTCACCTGCAGCATTCTCCTTTCCCGGGCGATAGGAGACGTCGAATGAATAACAAGAGAGTTCCATCCGCCATCTTGCAATTTTTTCATTTTTTATTTTACTTTTTATAGGTTTTCGGGTTAAACATTAATGATACCGATTTTTGGTCGGTGATAAGATGAAATTGTCTACCGATCAGATAATGCCTCCATTTTTGTAAAGCTTCAACTGTGGTGTACGCTTCTTTTTCTATGGCAGTATGCCTTCGTTCAGACTTCGAGAGTGTCCTATAGAAAAAAGCTACAGGCCGACCATGTTGTCTTAAGGAGGCAGCTATTGCCGAATTAGATGCATCAGTTTCAACTACTAGTGGAGCTGAAGGATTAATGGCAGCAATGGCAGAATTAGCAATATCCCTTTTTAAATTTTGAAATGCTCTAATGGCTGAATCCGGATAATGGAAAAGTTCTTACTTGAGTAAGTAAATGTATTTTTTCAGAAAAGGACTCAACCCATTGGGAATAATGGGCAAACATGCCAAGGGCTCGTTGTAATGCAGCTATATTTCCAGGAATTGGTAACTCCATTAGGGGTTTAAGTCACTCGGCGTCCGGTCTCATGGCACCATTCCTGACTATGTACCCTAGTAGCTTGATGCTTTTCAAATTATATGAACACTTTTCCTCATTAAGGGTCAGGTCATATTTATTTACGGTGGCCATGAATCGTTTGAGGTTGTGGTTATGATCTTCCTCGTTATAACCGCAAATAGTGACATTGTCTATGTATGCCACAGTACCCTTCAATTTCTCCTTAGAAATGATTTCATCTATTACCCTTTGAAAACTCGCGACCCTATTTGTAACCCCAAAAGGGATCCTACGGAATTGATATAAACGCCCACAAGCTTCGAATGCCGTGTAAGGTTTTTCCTCCAGCTTGATGGGTATCTGATGGTAGGCACTCCTAAGGTCCAACATGCTGAAAATACGATACTTAGTGATATCGGAAACCATTTCGCCAATACGGGGCAGTGGATACGCATCGAGCTGTGTATATCTGTTGATGGTTTGGGAATAATCAACAACCATCCTCTTTTTATGGTTTTCATTAGTCGTTATTAGGACCTGGGCTCTCCATTTGCTGGGCTCTATAATATTTTCCTTAAGAAGTCTCTTCACTTCCATTGCAATAAATTCCTTGTCTTTGAGCGAATAGCATCTAGATTTTACGGCTATAGGTTTGCAGTCAGAAGTTAGATTTGAGAAGAGAGATGGATACTGGACTTTTGCAGTTGCTAATCCACATATTTGCAGCGCTGGTTTGATACCACCGAACGGGATTGTAAGGTGAGAATGTCGGTTAAGGAAATTGTGCCCTAGAACTACTTCACAGCAGAGGTTTCTCATTATCAGCAACTTGATTTTAGAATAGAAATTTTCTTTTAGCTCGAGGTTAACCATGCAGAATCCGATTACATGGCAGGATAAGGACAAAGTGGCCATCAATATTTGATTAGAACAGGAAAAGATTTTCCATTTGTTTGTTTCCACGATATGTGTATCGATAAAATTTTCAGAACTCCCCGTATCAATAAAAGCGTGGAGATTTAGTCCGTTCACTCTGGCCGGCACAATTGTTTTAGAGAGGCATTTGGGAGAGACAGTCGATACGGTAGATAGAGATAGGGTGGCGGCTAAACGGGTTTTCTGTAAAAGGGCCGACCAACAAACCTTTAAAAAATGTCCCTGCTTGCCACATCCATGACATCTACTGTTTCGAGCAGGACAGGATGAACGAGTATGTTTACGAAGGTCGCAGAAGTAGCACTTAATCTCAGCTGAAGCGATAGTAACGGGTTGTTCAATAGTATTTGAAGAATCCTTATCCTGTTGGGAATAAGAATGGGCAGGAATAGTAGCCCCTGAAAAATCAGGTTGCGAATAGAGATCTGATTGTTTCTCGGCCATGTCCAATGTAAGGGCTAGTTCATAGGTGGTAGCCAGATCCAAGTCCTTGTTTTCGAAAGCATCCTTTGTCTGATTTGGTTAGACATTACTCCACTGATGAAGGCATCTCTTATTGAGATATCCCTGGCTTGGCTTGCTGTCAGGCAGTAA